GTAATGTAAAAACAAGAGGCCGCTGAAAACAGAAACGTGAAACTTACGAGGGTCCGCTGTTCATCGAGAGGTCAAGATCGATGGGAATTTCTACAGGCCAATAATTTATCAAAACGAGTTACTATGGAAATGTCGACTTTTATTTTCAATAAATTAATAGTCTCTCGTTCTTTCGTGACCTCGCAACGACGTTGCACCTAGGGCCTTCAAAAGTATAAACGCGGCCCAATGTAACTATCATTTCGAAGAGAAATACTTTTATTTTACGTTTCTCCTTTTTTATGAAATTTCATGCTTGATTAACCCATTCGTGACAGAATTATTTCTTCTTTAAGAATTTCTTATTTGTTCACCGATCGTCACGTCTGCAATGGACACCAAATTCAGATCAATCTCTATTCGAGTACTCGTGTAGGACGTATGGTCGTTCTCACTGGTGACGAAAGGGTTAATTTCTCGAATAACATTTTTAGTGAATTTTAACAGATCCTTACGCTTCTTGTGTTTATAAATTTGATATTGTTACGCAAGTTTCCTTGAAATAACGAACAATTCTAGGGACCGAGGTAAATCCCACAACTCTTTTCTTTCTTCTTCTAACAACGAAACGTGCAGGTTGCACGCCGAACACTCCAGTTTAGTAATATTTTAAACAAACATATACGCAGCGATGACGTTCATTTGTCACGTTGTTCTCTTTTGTACATTACTTAAAATTCAGTTGAGAAAAAGGTGAGAAAAATTGATCTGACTGAACACTTTCGCACGTCATTTCATACTTTACGTTTTTTCATCGACAAACATCCATTATGATTCACATATTTTTGTCAACAGGATACGTCGTCTCGATCGAATGAAAAAAATTTGACGACAAGTGGTTTTTTAACATTATTAAAACATATACCGATGTCCGAATATTTCTCGGATTAACAGCCTATTTTAAACGTGTTTGCTTTTCTCTTTAGCTTTTGTTAAAGCTAATTGTCAGCAATAATGCCAGTTTGTTCATACGAAATAGCTTGCCGTGTTATTTTACTTTATAATAAGCACGATTTTAATTGTTAACTACTTTGGAAGATCGTTTCATTAAAAATCCTACTCTTTATCTTCGAGATAGACGAACTTGACCCTTGCTTTTGCTAATTTTTTACAACTCTCGGCGATGTAACTACGAATAATTGTCGGAAAATTTTAGAAACCTTCGTTAAAATAATTGTACATTTATGATGCATCCCCTTGTTCTGTTAAACGGTGTATTCTTTTTTCGATTAGAACCTCTGATTAGTTGACGGAGAGGAATGAATTCGTCTTGCTTGTAATTCACATGACATTGCCATAATCGGTGTACTTTGTATGTACTTAGTACGTATGATAAACATAACATAAATACAGAGAGATAGAGCGATAAGTAAATGAAGCTACGTAATTGAAAGAAAGTGGTGTGTCTTCAAACGATGGGCAGAGTTTCGTTGGTAAAAATGTCAGTTAAATTAAAATATATTTGTTTCCTTTGGTAACCATTTGTTTAGCCACATTTGACATCGAAATGTTTCATAATTATAAAATTATAAAAATGTGATTTTCCCAACACTGTGTATTTTCTTCTCGAGAATCGGTAATTTTGCGAATTCAGTAGCTTGTAGTACATATTGAAGAGGCTTCATGTTAATTTACTGGGAATAACAATGCTTATTCCTCGAGAGAAGGCTAATTTTTCTAAAAATAAGACAACGATGGAAAATGATCTATGGCTGTTATCGTAGTAAATAGGTAAACCTGATCGTTTATTTCCCGTCTAATAATCAATTTAGAAACACAGTCATTTAGAGAACTCAATACAGATTTTTTAACCATCATTTTTCTTCGATACCT